TTAAAATTACGTATTAAAAGATTGATGGGCAATATGAAAACCGTCTATCCATCTGTACTCAATAATCCAGTAGTGAAAAAAGAATTAGATAGATTACATGATCAGTACGTCGTACTTCTGACAATTCAGGTAACAACATTGTCTTTGTTTGTAAGGCTCATTATATAAATTGTATTTTAAAAGAACTCGGATTTTATTCTGTAAGTGGTAATCCGTTATACTCATAGTTCCCTTTTTAAGGAAAAAATTCTTCAAATTTTTATGTCAGTTTTGAATATTTTATATGTCCCAAAAAACCTAAATGAATTTAACTCCATAGACGATGAGGGTATATAGCTGCATAAGTGAGAGATATTGCCGTTTTAAATATTTAAGGTTTTGATAAAATAAAAGGGAAAATTAAAGGGTCTTGAAAAAAAGAGTGACGATTGTTTAAGTTCATTAATTCGTTTCTTCTTTTTTTATTCTATTTTTTGATAAGTAGATGTAAAGGTGTGTAGGGGGCACTAACAGTGGACAACTTCAAGCATCTTAGCATTTATCGTCATAAAAAGGGGCCAATTTGATTGTTCAAAGCTATGAAAATTCTTTCTCTCTCATACGTTTTACTGTACTTAAAAATTTCTAGTGTTCATCTGTTTTAATTAACTCATTTATTATTGAAAGTTTTCAACGTCATACCAGTTAGGTAAATACATAATTATATGAATGCTTTGGGTATAGCATAGACATCGAGACTGAGCAAAAGGCCGGGGGAGGGGATGGAGGGCTAAGCCCCCCACTTATTTTGGAAAGATATATGCATTGTTTAAGCATTAATAAAGATTTGGACTGAGTTTTTTTTTACCCGTTTTCTCCTCTTTTCGACGGGAGTAAATCAATTCATTTTTGAGGTTAGGGTTTGGCTTAGTTTTTTGAAAGACAAATGACAAATAAAATCTTTCCATGACTAATTTTTTTTTAAAGTGCGTTAAGTGTCTCAATGGTAAAATATATTGATGTACATGTAGATTCTTAACGCACTTTGAATTTTTTTTTTAAAGTGCGTTAATTTTGTCCCAATTTCAACGCACTTTGAACAAAATTTTCAAAGTGCGTAATTTTTTCAAAGTGCGTTGCCACACAGGGCGCAACTGTTACCCATGGAAATTCCATGAGATTGTTGGAAAATGGTGAGTCTGAGATCAAAAGAGAGTTCGTCTTATTTTAATTTTTATGGATCCCAGTCCAGGTCTCCAAAATCCACATAGCTACATGTATTGTCAATCAAAAAAATCAACATCTGTTTTAATGTCAACTTTAAGTTTTTAAGCTGTTGATTTTGGAAAAATCTTGTGATGCTTAGTATCAATCAGTCAATCTCTTTTCAATAGATTGAAGGATTTATTTAAGGGGGCCGACTATAGTTTCTATTGCGCAATATTTCGCGCATCATAGTAAAATGAAGCGTATTTACTATTTCAAAGCTACTTTTTTCGCTTGATTATTAAAATTAAACAAAATTAAGAAATTAAAGTATGAAGAAATGTAATTACAATTTCATCTAACTGATTTTTAACCGATTTTGCAATTAATAGGTAGGTTGACGTCGTAATAGTGTGTTTTTGACGTTCCGATAAACTGAAACTCTTAAAGAAAGGGATAATAAGAGGCTAGCGGTACCAGATAGCCTCAACCTAATTAAAGAAAAAGCAATAAACATACGCTCCTGAAATTTAAAACATAGAAATTTGAGAATATCTCCATTATTGTTATTATGTTTTCGTATGAATCCTTTGTGCCTGCAATATTTTGTAGTACTCTATATAAAACGGGAATATTAGTTAATTTTTGGCATTTTGAGATGCCCCCTCTGGTAACAAGACGGTAATATCTGTGTTTCTTACATATATTATATGATATAGTATTATTCATCACATATTATGGTTTGAACAAAAAGTCTCTTGTAGTATTTGTGTAATTTGCTTTAAAGTGCTAAAAACTGGCATTTTCCTATGTGATCCTAAAGTACATGTACCTATATTTTGAGACGGTCCCTCAAAAACCTGGACGGTTGGACAAAAACCAAACTCGGCATGTACACTGATGTCAATGTAAGTTGTACGTAGTATAAAAATGGAGAGTTTTGCTATTGTATTTTTCACACAATGAAATAAGTATAACCTTATGCTTTAGCACAAAAACATGTATAAATGTTTGAAGATTTTTTTAGAATCAGAATGTTTCAGTATGCATAATTAAGAATTTTTTTTTTCGCAGTGGGGCGAAAATGAATGCATCAGACAGTCTCTCAAGATTACAAGGTACGTACAAATTTATTATTACATGTATATTGTTTCCTAAATGTGACTTTTAAATGTGTGCAACTTGAATTGTCTTTCATTTTCTTTTGATTTAAGGTCTTGGAGCCGAGATGAGGTAGTGTATCTATTACAAGTCGGGAGGTATTGTTGTTTTATTTTGAACATATTTTATTGAACGAGTCAAATGGATTAGAAACAAGTTCTTACAACTTACTAGTTCCTCTCCATAAATATAACAATATGTCATGCAAAAAATACATGAAAATATAATTATAATATTTTCAAGTGATGCAAATGAATTACAAATATTACAAGGTATTGTTAATTAGAATAAGATTTGAAGTCTTGAAAGCAAAATACCGTCTTTAACCCGAAAGTGGCAAAACACTATGTATTAAATATGAAGATATCGAACATTTCAAAATCCATTTCAAAGTCCAGAAAAACAACACAAATCATCTCAGTTGGGATCAAGTGCCATGGAGGAGCAAACATCCCCCTGTGTCGTCCGGTCATAAGGGCTGCGTATTCACCATAAGGCAAATGGAAAAATCCATAAACAATTCAGATTTTACAAATAGCCTAACAATCAAAATGAAAGCGTCAACCAGCATTCGGGTTAACGATAGATTTTATTTGCTGACAAGGTCATTTTATAGAGCCGTAGAACATGGGTAAGGATGACTTTCAACGAGACTATAGGTGTCCTAGTTAAATCAATGTGTTTGTCAAAAGGCTAATTTTAAAACACAAAACAGTATCTTACGTGATGCATACGAAATGAAGATTAGAAATTTCTGTTATATTGTTATAAATGCAGGAGAATCTTTCTTTTTCTGTTGAAAATAATCAAATCAGAAGGTCACAAAAATTTATTAATATTATAGATCTAATGAATTTAATTTTATGTCAGGGGTTCTGGTGTTAGGGCGGGGCTCTATAGATTATATATAGTGTTAGGACGTGGCTCTATAGATTATATAGTGAAAATTCATGAATTCTTTGAAAATATTCTTCTCTGCTCCTGGGTATTAAATAAACTAACTAAGTGCATAGTTATGATAAGCAAGAATACCTCTACAAATTTGTGAATTTTATGGCCCCAGGGTCAGGATTCGGGTGCTAGGGCGGGGCTCTATTGATTAAATAGTGAAAATACATGAATTCTTTGAAAAAAAATCTGTTCTGCCCCTAGGAATTAAAAAAGTACATAGTTATGATGAGCAAGAATACTTCTTCCAAAATTTTGATTTTATGGCCCTAGGGTCAGGGGTTCTGGTGTAAGGATGGGGCTCTATTGATTATATAGTGAAAATTCATTAAATCTTTGAAAGTTTTCTTCTCTGCTCTTGGGTAAGCAGATGAACTACCTATATAGTTATGATGAGCAAGGGTCCTTATCTTCCAGAATTGTGAATTTTAAGGCCCCAGGGTCAGGGGTACTTATATACTGAAACTTGATGAATTGTTTGAGATCTGCTCCTTGATTTTAATCCAATATTTCTGAAAAGCAAGGGTGCCTTTTCAAAAATTGTGCAATGTGTGGATCTAGGCCAAAGGGTCAGGGGTTCATGTGTGATAAGGGCATTACTGATTATTGCTGAATATTACTGATTACTTGAAATGCATTTTTGTTCCCCTACCCTGCCTATGGGACCGGTATTAAGTAAACAAACTTAGAAACTGTTAAGTTTATTGTTATGATGATCAATGGTGCCTCTTTCAAAATTGTGAATGCCATAGCATCTGGCTTAAAACATGAATCAAATTAAATCACTGTAAAGTTGTTGCATAATGCTCAGGTGACCTATAAGGTCTATGGGCCTCTTGTTCATATAGGAATTGACGACGGATTTTTTCGTTATTTCCCGATCATGACAAGGAGCAAACGTTGCGTGTAACCGGTCAGCAGAGGATGCTCACTCCTCCATGGCACCTGATCCCACCTCCGATGTTTTTACTCTGCATATATTTTGTATTGTTTTATGGATCGACTTTGATATTGAATACTGTTTGTTCTCTCCGTATCCCTCGTTTATATAGTATTTTGCTACTGAGGGTAATTATGTTATAGACACTTCATTGTGTAAATTTTAATTGATTTTATATTAATTCATTCAGCGCCCAGTATGAAGAGCTAAATCAGAATAAACGTGAACAGGAAAACAGTTATGATGCTATTCGAACACCAAACAGTATGGGTAATTCTATCACTAAAGACTTTGCTAATCTATTCAAAATTCTTTTGATTTCATTTTAATCAGTTGTCAAAATATTACTTGACTTGTCTCATTTCATTTTAGAAAACAGAATTTCTGGGTAAGTAGTCCTCAGAGTAAGGGTTCATATAATGAGTAAACGAATTGAAAATGGTGCTGAAAAATATTACGAAGTCTAGTATGTTTATAAATGATTTGTTATTACTAGTACTTAATTAGCCGAGGACATTGCTCGTAGAGCAATGCCCGGCTTTTGCGACGGTGTTCAGCCGGAAATGCTGCTTCATCACCGCCAAATTAAATTTACGAGTTAAGGCCGGTACACACTATAAGGCTTGCCTTATACGTTTTTTGGAGCCTTACAAGTCTGACTTTAGAATAGAGCACTGCTCTATTTCCTAATACATGAACAAGACTTAGCTGACTTTTAATTCTTGACCAATTAAAACCATTTACCCAGATTCAATTTATTTTTATAAAACCATACATGTTGGTACATTGAAGATTGATTGATTGATTGTATATTGTTTAACGTCCCTTTTGAGAATTTTTCACTCATATGGAGACGTCATCGATGCCGGTGAAGGGCTTCAAATTTAGACCTTTACTCAGAACTCAGGGCCATTGAGCAGAGAGGGTTCTTTATCATGTCAACGCCTACTGTGACACAGGACCTACGTTTTTAAGGTCATATCCGAAAGACCCGTGACCTTCACTTCTAGTGCCGAGCGCTTGGCGAAGGAACAGTCACTACCTATGTTTACGTCTTAGGTATGACGTGGCGCCGCGATCGAGATTCGAACTCGGGCCTCCCGATCACGAAGCGAACTCTCTACCACTAGGCTACCGTGACCGGTGGTATATTGAAGAAAACACAGAGTATATTCGAGTAAGATAATGAAAATATTTACAAATACTTCAGTGCGCTTTGTTTATAGTTAAAAAAAAAACGCATGGCATTTATGTAAATGTTGTTTATGATATTCTAAGTCTTGCCTTAGCGTGTTAACATGAGAGCCGTACGTCCTGCAAAACGTACGGTTTTAGACTTATAAGGCAAGCCTCACCGTGTGTACCGGCCCTTAGAATATAGTACGTTTGTGCGATCACCTTTGGGGCAATACAAACACTGAATTAAACTTCTAAAATTATCTTAAATTGTCAAAAATTAATTATGATAAAATACTTTCTATCGTCTTTGACGATTAATTAATTGGTTAAAAATATGCGAAAGGTATACATCAGGTAAATGTTAAAGATATTTTACGCTGTTAAATTCTAGCTGCATTTTCTTCAGTTTTTTAAACTTTTTAATACTGTACTTTTAGGTCACCTGAGTAAACTCAGGTAACCCATTGCTTTCCACTTTCGTCCGTCGTCGTGCTTCCTTCGTCGTGCGTTAACATTTGAACATTTTCAGCTTCTTCTCTGAAACCGCTGAACAAATTTTGACCATTTTGGCATATAGCATCTATGGGTGAAGGAGAAAAAAAATTTGGTCACTGCCCCCCTGGGGCTTGGGGTGGGGCAAAAACCACTAAACTAGTACAATCTTTAAATATCTTCTTTTTTACTTCTGGACATCAAGCATTGTAACTGTTGGTTTGATTGTAATCAGCACTAGGTCCTCTACAAAAATTGTGAAATTCGTGGCCCCAGGGTCGGGGGTTCTACTGCTAAGACGGGGCTATATAGAATATATGGTGAAAATGCATAATGCGTAGTTATGTTGAATAAGGCTGCCTCTTCCAAAAGTGACTTTCAAGACCCCCAGGACCATGTGTGTAGGCGGATCTATATAGATTCTATAATGAAAATGAATTATTTCTTGTTTTCTGCTCCTGTGTATTAAACCAATGAACTATGTACATAGTTATGAGAAGGAAGGATGCCTCTTTGAGATTTGTGAATTCCAGGGCTCCTGGATCAGGGCTTTATGTCACTTGTGTTAGGGCGGATCTCCAATGCTTTTATAATTAAATGGATGAATTCTTTGAAAAACTTTTCTTTGCTCATTGGTAATATGCCAATGATGTAAGTACATATTTATGATGAAGAAAGCTGCTTCGTCAAAACTGGTTAGTCTGAATGTAAATTAATTCTATGAAATCTGCACTTTGATATTTTTCAACAATTTATGATGAAATAAAATTCATGATTAAATTTCCAAAATTGTGGAAAATGTAGCCCTATGGTCAGTGGTTCCTGTGGGATGGGGTGAACAACTGGTAATGAATAGAATTTCATTTTCTCTTTGTTGTTGTGATCTATCCCATTGAGCAACAAAGTAAGCATGCTAAGTGAATAATGATTGATAAGCAATGGTTACTCTTTTAAAATTGTAAAATTTATGGCTTCTGGTTTAAAACACGAAAGAAAGTTGTTATGGGATACTCAGATGACCTATAAGGTCCGTGGGCCTCTTGCTTTTAATACTATTGCTTTTTTATGTTCATGCAATATTTTGCTACTGTAGGGTAATTTTGTTATAGACACGTCATTGTGTAAATTTTAATTGATTTTACATTAATTCATTCAGCGCCCACTATGAAGAGCTTAATCAGAATAGACGTGAACAGGAAAACAGTTATGATGCTATTCGAACACCAAACAGTATGGACAATTTTATAACTAAAGACTTTGCTAATAAAACTATTCAAAATTCTTTTAATCCGTTTTCAAAACATAACTTGAATTGTCCTATTTCATTTTAGAAAACAGAATGTCTGGGTAAGTAGTTCTCAGAGTTATGGTCCATAATGAGTAAACCAAAAGAAAATCCGGGGGAAAAATCAGAAGCCTAGTATGTTAATATATGAGTTGTGACGGATCATTGTTTTCGAACATTACAGTTCAACATATGAAGTTCTGCAACCTCAGAAAAAAGAAAACAAGTATGAAAGATTTACAAGTCCTAAAGGTAACTAATTTTTACTGAAAATATTGAAAATCAATAATGAAAGCAAAAACTCTTGAATCTGTAAACTTCATTGAAAATGTAAAAACACTAGTATGTTTCGCAAGATGTACGTATTTATTCAAATGATATGAATGTTTTTGTCATGGTATATGAAAAAGAATGGTTGCGACACAGCAAAAAAAAATATCCTGCATTTGCGAGTTAATTTAATTTTTTCTTTTATCATTGCAGCTGTTTTTATACAGTCTTAATTTTATGAGGGGGCTAGCATAAAGTGAAATGTATTTGTCATTACAAAACCAATATAATAAAAAAAACTTTCCATTTAATAAAATCATGTTTTAGAGACCTAGGTGCAGAATTTCTTTAAATGGCCTGTAAAAATTAAACTTTTTAATGTCATCATTAGCAATTTGAGTAGGTGTATCATCCACCATAGCGACAAGAAAACACTGATACATACTTTATCATTCTGTTTTGTGAAAAGATAAATATAATCTACTGTTTTTAAAAATATTTTAAAAAGTGGAAGAATTAAATGTAAATGAAATATTCAGGCAACAAGGTAACTTTTGGTGACTTTTCCTACTACATAATTTTAAGAAACATTTAAAAGCACTGGTGACGTTTATTTACGGATCGATTATCTTTTAATGCGTATCTATATCTCGGCATAATGCATATCATCGGGAGTTCAATGTCCACAATTTTTTTTCTATCTAAAATAGTAAAAAAGTACTGTTGATCTCCAAAATGAAATTTTTAAATTTTTAAATTTCTTGCTTAGGGGCCAAATGTTGCAAATTTAAAGAACATTTATTTTAATATATGCAATATTTATTAGTTTTCCTGAACAAATGGATCCACAAATAATTTATTCAATTTGTAGGTGGAAAAGACAGTGTATATGCCAATTCGAAGATGCTATCCCAAGGAAATGTATATGTGAATACGTCCTTTAAAGAAAATTGAAATATATGGCACTTAAAATATTTTTTTTTAATTTTAATATTTTTTATTGTAAAGAGTAAAGAATCAATCACTAATATTTATGATCGCCATAGTCAGAGTTTACAGAAAATTTTATATCTGCCTTATAAATTAATTTTGTGTGTTTGTTGTTATTGTTTGTTTGTCTGGTTTTTTTGTTTTTTTTTTTTTTTTTTTTTTTTTTGGCAAAGATATTGTATGTGCGATAAACAACTTTTGCTTTTGTTTAGTCATATTTTGTATATCATTCTGTCAAAAAAAAAGATTCATCTATGAAAATCGATGTACACTTACGTTAAGAAACTGTTCTTTAGGAAAAAAAGGCTTATGGCTTTATTTATTATAAAGTAAAAATGAATTAATTCTTTGAAATCTTCTATTTTCTTGTTAATTTAAAAAACATCGTACTTTTATTGCTACGAGTAAAAGTCTCGTTAACGCGCGTCCCTATCTCTTATATACAGCTGTACCTCGGACTCGTATATACAAAGGCTATCTTTTAACGAGCTAGCTTCGACTAAGATTTATTCTGATCGGAAGGCACGAAATAATTTATAAAAGAAAACTTTCAAGTGCTGGTTCCGTAATTGTATCTGTTGTAAGATCACTAAAATCATAACATTTACTTCAGTCAAAAAGCATTTTTACATGTAGTCACTAATAAAAATTGTCGTTATTTCAGTTTTCACTAGAAGTTTCGATTTAACTTTACATTGGTTTTACTGATTGCTATTTAAGATAAGTCACTTCTCAAATTTCTTATTTCAAGGATTTTTGAGAAGTATATTTTGGATAAGTACTCATAAAGTGTGACTCAAAATCGCAGAGAAAATAGGGGGCAGTGTGCATCGTACTGATGTATGGTACATTTAAGTTGACCTATTTGCACTTAAATTTTAACCCCTTAGTTTATTAACTTTTGTACAATTATTTCTTATTATATTTTTTCAGCTGTAACCATGGCAACAAATTTATTCTTACTTTACGTAAAATAGTTTGAATAATATTTATCATTGATCAAATCTTGCAAATTATTGCGCTTAAATAATTATGTGACCTTTTGCACTAAAATATAACATATTTTGGGTATTAGAAAAATAAATAGGCAATATAACATTTTCTTATATCAAGCTTTGTAAGACTTAAGTGCTGATCAGTCATAAGTATCGAGAAGTTTAAAATAATGAAAGAAAAAGTTGGGGTCAGTGATGTTAATTTTGAAATATTGAACAAAATATGTGATTTTCAGGCAAAAATGGTATAAAATTTATCTTGACTTCTTTGATATATCTTCAGTTTTTGGCAAAGTTTGTTGAAGGAAGATCCAAAACTTATTCTAAAATTTTAAATTAAGACCTATATCAAATATTCCTATCAATATTAGAACCGAAAATATTCTCCGAGTAAAAGTATGCGAGGCTAAAGTTTCAAGACGTTAAATTTAATAAATATGCAGATTTGCAGAAATTTCTGCTAAATATCCTTCCACCACGAAAAATAGTCCCCAATAAATCTTGCTTCTTTGGAGATTTTTGATCAGTTTTTTCTTTGATTGTTAAAAAATATACATTGTTGAATATAATTATTTTATAAAAATAGAATTTTAATAAATTTTTTTTTAAAGTTAGAGGTTCTGCGTGAACTTCTCTGAAAAGCTGACGAGTGACTTACCTTAATAAATTTTTTTGTTACTTCATGGCTGAAAGCTTATTCCGTTTTGTCATTACTAAAACTAGAAATTTCTGTGAAATTCCTTTAAAATTCTATCCGTCCACAGTTTTTGTCTGCTTTTTATATAACTTGGTACACAAGTAGACTTTACAATTTGAGGTACATGTACAATATTTTGTGCATTGGTTTTCGTTTCCATTGAATGCTGTTACCACGGTTACTAAACTTTTCTTAGAAATACTATCAATATGCTACATTTGGATTAACAATAAGAATTGTCATACCAGACTACTAGAATACACTTAGGTACATAACTATACCCGTCGTAAACGAAGATTGGTGGGTATATATAGGAATCACCTTTTCCGTCTGGCTGTATGTCTGTGCAAACGTGTACTGTCCATATCTTTCTTACTGAGGAACATTAGAATCTATTACTTCACACAAAGATTGCTCATGACCTAAGAAAATGTCATGGCCTTGAACCAAGGTTATTTGGAGAAGTTCAAGGTCACTGAAAGAAAAATTTCATAATTCGTGTCCGGTTCATATCATTCTTATCGATAAACTTGGTAAGTTCACAGAAAATTGCTCGTGATCTAAGGGTGTGTCAAGACCTTGACCTCAGGTCATATGGGAAGTTCAAGGTCACTAGAAGAAAAATTTCATAAATTCATGTTTGGTACATATCTTTCTTCTGGAAAAACTTGAACCTACTTCTTCACACAAAGATGGCTTATGACCTGAGGGTGTGTTGTGACCTTAAGCCAACGTCATTTAATTTCAAAGTCACTGAAAGAAAAATTTCATCATTCATGATCGGTCCATGTCCTTCTTATGGACAAACGTGGTAAGTTTCTGTTTTACACAAAGATTGCTAATGTCTTGAAGGTGTGACATGTCTTTGACCCAAGGTCATTTGTGCAAGTTAAAGGTCACTAAAAGAAAAAAGTTCATAATTTGTGCCTGGTCCATATCATTCTTATGGATAAACATGGAGGGTTCTTGTTTTACACAAACATCGCTTATGACCTGAGTGTGTGTCATGACTTTGACCCAAGGTCATTTGAACAAGTTATTTGACACTGACAAAAAATATGATTTATGCCCGGTCTATATATTTCTTATGGGTAAATGTAAATTCCTATTTTACACAAAGATTGCTTATGACCTAAAGGTGTGTCATGCCTCTGAATAAAGGTCATTAATGTAAGTTCAAGGTCACTAACAGAAAAAGCTCATAATTCGTGTCTGGTCTGTATCTTTAGTATTTATTTTTATTATGCTGCACCTTCGTTTCATTCATAAAAAATATGAGCAATTATATTTGCCCAAAAAAAAAGTTTTTGCATTTTTTTCTTCTCTTCGGTCCATAAATATTCTTGATTTGACACCTTCTGTAAAAAAAACCAAGCGCAGGGGGTGGTGGTATTCCTTTTGGACAGTTCTAGTTCTATTAATTCAAACGCTCTCATGTACCCGCATAGTATACACGCGGGTTAGAAAACTCCAATATTGAATTTTATTTCAAAAAATAATTGAAAGTAAATTATTAAACATTGACATAATAAAATATTTTTTTCAATCTTCACTGCTGTTTCTAACTCGTAAGTGTTATATCGTCCACGTTATCTGTAGAAAAAAGACCGCGTCCACAGAAAACACTATATTTGCTGTAATTGGAAGTCCTTCGATTAAAATTATTTTTTTTAGAAATGGGATATAAGAAACATATTCAGCAGTAATAAACGGCATAGCATAGTTTTTAAAAGATGTTTTATTTTGTACTATGGCTACAATCCGAACGATGTTGTACAGAAATTGATGCTCGAATTTCCTGAAGCGTCTGTATATATACGTAATGAAAATGTGAAGATAATTAATAGTGATCGATTCTGAAACGAAATCTTTCTAACAATAAGATTTTGTTAACACTCGAAGAATTAAAGATATGGAATATTTTGGACAATATTGTTGGCCAGAAAAAAGAAAAAAAAATTCCGATCGCGGTAAATGCATAGGTCGCTTAATAATTTTTTTTTCAATATTCAGACATTTTAATCAATTGAATTTTTTCTATTGAAGATTTAAAAAGATAAATATTGTTGATTTTTAGCCGGGATTATTGCTCAAAGATCAATTGCCGGCTTATGGGATCCTGTTCAAGGCAGGATGTTGACCCCATAGTCGCCATTTTAAAGTTACGTGCAAAAATATAGTTCTTACTCTCAACCGCTTTTGAGATAATACAAACGCTAAATATAGCAACAAAAATAAAACGAAGTTTTATGTACATAAAATAAACATTAGTAGTAATGACTTTGAAAACTTCATAAGTCAAAGAACATAGTTCAATAGCATAAGGATTTTTGATAATTAGTGTTACCGTGGTTTTCTACACATACGACGTAAAGCAGGAGAGGGAACCAGACTGGCCTGTTTGTTTACATTCAGCTGCGGTATCAGATTAACTCTGATTCTGACAAGATCGGACCGTGGTATTAGGATTGAAAAACTCACTGTCAGTGTCTTATCATTAATATTGATAGTTTTAAAATAATTTTTTCATCAGAATATAAACGTGATTCATGTAAGAAATCTATTCTAAACTGTAAATGAGCCCGGCTCTCTGTACTTCTGAGTACTTTGATTAGTTTAAAATTTACTTGTGATTTTTTTCTTTTATGTAAGGAAAACATTTTCTAAAACGATATACATGTATCTTATTATTTTTTTCCTTCAAAACATTACCATGATTACGATGAATGCGTTTAGTTTACAAATAAATTTCATATCAAAATAATTATTTTAAGTAGTTTCACTAAAAACCAGGCTCAAAACACGTAATGTTGACCCTAATTACCAAACACAGACTTCCTGTGTAATGCTACGTATACACAGATTTTTGACACCTTGGGTATTGGGGGTCTCCAGGTAAATAACACCACTGTTACTTCGACCACTCTCCATCCTCAGGTAACCGTACGGTAAAAAAAATTGGGTCTTCAAGGGTGTACACAAAGTAAGGCTAGAACTTAAGTTCCATGACTCACCGTGTGTACCAGCCCTAAGAGCAATTAAACTCCAAAAACGAGAAGTCCTGATTCCAATAGCTAGTGTAGTTTCTAATAAACCGACAGAATATATAATAATACACCCACAGCATATAATTATGAACCCACAGCATATAAAAATGAAACCAAATCACATAATAAAAGAACAACAGCATATAATTATGAACCCACAGCATATATTTATGAAACCACTGCATATAATAAAGAATCCACAGCATATAATAATAGATCAACAGCATATAATTATTAACCCTCAGTATATAATAATAGATCCACAGCATATAATTATGAACCCACAGCATATAAAAATGGACCCAGAGCATAAAATAATGCAACCACAGCATATAATGATATACCCACAGCATATAATTTTGAAACAACAGCATATAATATTGGACCAACAGCATATAATAATGCAACCACACGTATTATAATAGATCCACAGCATATAATTATAGACCCACAGCATATAATTATAGAACCACAGCATATAATAATAGCTATTATTCTTGTTCTTCTACGTTAATATATATTATTGTAAAATTGTAAATCTTTCTAATCATATTTGTATGGCTTATGATATTTTATGTATGGAAGAGCACTATCTAAGTTTTAAGAACTTGTGTCCGATCACTTTAACAAGTTTGTCAATGAAATATGTTCAAAACAAAAGAAATCAACAACTGTGAAAAAAGAAAAGAAATAACATTGCTCTGCGACGCGTTGATTTACCCAAATGGACACCAATGCGACCCAAATGGACACCAATGCGACCCAAATGGCGACCCAAATGGACTTATGTAGAATTTACAATAAAATTATTTATTTTTGCACTTAGATTTAAATATTGTTGAATAAATATAAAATATTAAAACTATAATTAAGAAAATTCAGAGTAGAAATGTCCGAAAGCAAAACATACACACAGTACATTGTATATTGTCAATCCGTGCAGTTGTGGTAAGTAGACTTTAACAAATGAACGCATTCAGTGAATCGTAAATGTCAACAATAACAGAGCTCATATGCCCTGTTTACAAAAAAAATGTGTACGTAACACGGGTGTGACCAATGTGCTAAGCTTTGTACGCAACACTTAGCTCGGAATGACAATATTTGAGAAGGAGTTTTGCTTTCTAACATTTCTACTCTGAATAAAATTATTTTTTCTGGATTAAAGTTTTAATATTTCTCATTAATACACAACAAGATTGCCACTTTTTTGAAGCATTAAGAATTAAGTTGAAATTTGTAAAAGTGCAAGGATGTGTCAATCAAACCCGCCAAAAAAGTTTTAATAACTTTTAAATGAAATAAGATTTTCAATTAATTTTTTGTCTGAATTGCGCTTAAAATATATAAGTCGTAATATTTTACAGAAAATATTAACTTGAAATATGTGTTTAATGAGTAAACACATAAATAAAGTAGTCATGTTTTTAATTAAATCATTGCATTGTAGGCAAAGTGATCAGAAGGGAAAAACCCCCTCCTATCCCAGTTCATAGGGCCTTGTTCCATTGTTGTTTATCGCAAACGTTCTTGATTAAATTTACAGGTACTCAATTTTACACTCCAATCACTCACGAGCAAGCGAATATATATATCCCTCAAAACTTGCTGCGATAAGCTAATAAACTTCATCGAGAATATCTAAATGAAAAACCCTTTTTTTAAAGATCATATGAACCCGGAAGTTTTTTTTATATATATAGGACTAAGGGAAAAAATAACCATGCAGCACATTTACCACGAAGGCAGGAGAAATACACTGGTTTTTCTTGTGTACTTAACTTTCTTGGCTTCGATAGCAGAAGGTAAAATATCTTATTGATTAAAATCACGCTTTGTGTTAGATATTTGCGTACAAACAATTATAATTACTCTATGAAAATCGAGCGGGAATAATCAACAGTTACATTTTTCTTTAAGGTCATAGAATAGATCTTTTTTCCAGCGATGACCGATATCGAAAGATTACTTACTGGTGTTTATGCACTTGAACTTGTTTCAAGTATAAATGTTTCAACGGTTAAAGTTAAATATAAGTTTTGTTGCTTTAAACTTTTATTCTCTCAAAGCCTCACATGAGACTTATACGGAAGCGTATTGTTACACGCTACCACAGTCTTGAGGAGGCTAGTGGGTCAACAAATTAATCTCAAATTAACCACCAGATTTAACTAATTTTTTTAGATACGGTATCTTTAGCTGTCAACTATCATTTGGCAAAGAAAAAAATCATATATTTTAGTTTTAAAATTTGATCATTTTTGTATATCTTTATATGGAGCTTTCCTTTCAAAGGAGATTGTAATAATCTAAAATGGCTGCCACCCCCAGCCTCTTTAAGATACAAACGTTATACACAATTTGAACATCTTAAAAAAAACTGTCAACAAATGGGAATAAAGGAACAAACATAAACAAGAGGCCCTGGTCCCTCACGCTCACCTGTTAATCTTTTGCCATGCTGTTCACCATATTATCCCCCATGTAATATCTATATGGTCCCATCCTATTATGATTATGATTTGAACATTTTAGAATCTACATCATCCTAGGATGTTTCCACAAATGCTGCACTTTTTCTGTCCCAGTCGATTTTGAGAAGATGAATTTTTAAGATTTTCAATGTAAAATCTGGATTCCCTTTTGTGGCCCTGTCCTAGCCCTGGGTGTCAAGATTGGGACAATTTAGGATCTACACCACCGAAGGAGGATGTTTCTACATAATTTTAAACTTTTCTGGCCCAGAAACTTGGAGATTTTCCTACATATTTAACTTTGATTCCCAATCACGGTCAACCCCTACTCTGGGAGTCATGATTTGAACAACTAAAATTCTACACGACCCAAAATTACATTCATAAGTTTCAGTTTTTCTTGCCTGGTGGTTCTTGAGAAGAAGATTCTTCAACATTTTTTTCTTATACTAGTATATTTAATTGTAAACCTTGGATTCCTTTGTGTTGTCCCAAACTATTTCTTGACGGTCATGATTTGAACAATTTCGAATCTGCACCCCCCATGAAGCTTCGAAATCTGTTTTAGCTTTATTGGCTCAGCAGTTCTTGAGAAGATTTTATAAGATTGTCCCTAAATATATTCCAAAGTAAAACTTGGATTCTCAATTGTGGCTGTGTCTTACCCTCATGGGTCAATGTTTTGAGCAATTTAGAATGTCCCAGGTAGTCAACCAAGCAGAATGAGACCCGTTTAGGTGTGACTATACAATTTATTAACAATTTAAGTGTTTGACGTTGATGAAATGTTTTAAAATAACATAATAAGAATATAATGTTTATATCATAAACCGAAAGATTTGTGAAGATATCAGACTTACTGTAATCTAAAAGCAAGAAAAGGCAGTACAATATCAGTGCCGGAAAATAATGTTGTGTTAGCTGTTGAGTTGTTTGTATGTCAGGGTCACCCCGCTTCAATTTTTAGCATAAACCTGTAAACAACATTTAATTGGAGCATACAAAAGTGAGAAATATGTTCTACTAAGTTTTTAGCCCAAATGAGCTTTTCTGATCAAAATTTGGCCGTTGTCTGTCGTCATCGTAAACTTTTACATTTTCGACTTCTTCTCAGGAACCACTGGGTCAATTTCAACCAAACTTTACACAACGTATTATTAGGTAAAGAGGATTTAAGTTTGTTCAAATGAAGGCCCACGTCCTTATTCAAGGGAAGATAATTCAGAAATAGTGAAAATTTGGTGGTATGATTTAATATCTTCTTCTCAAGAACCAATGTGCCAAGGAAAAATGAAACTTATAGGGAGGCATCCTCGAGTAGTGTAGGTTCAAGTTTGTTCATGACCCCAGGGGTAATGGCGGGGCCTTAATGGCCGATGAATGTTTTACATAAAAATATATAGGAAAATTCTTTAAAAATCTTCTTTTGAAGAATAAAAAGGCATAAATGATCATATTTATATAGAAGCGGAGATTCAGGTTTGTTTAAATCATGACCCCTGTGTGGGTTTGGCAGGGCCACAATGGCCGATGAATGTTTTACATAGAAATATATAGGAAAATTCTTTAAAATTTTCTTTTCAAGAATAGCAAAGGCATGAATGACCATATTCATATGGTAGCATCCTCAGTGGAGATTCAAGTTAGTTCAAATCATGACCCCTGGGGTAGGGGGAATTCAACGTTACAGGGACTTCAATGGCCAATCAAAGATTTACATAGAAATATATAGAATTTATTTTAAATCTTCTAAAAAATAGCAAAGCCATGATTAGTCATGTTTTTATGGAAGCATCCTCAGGTAGTGTAGATTCAAGTTTGTTCAAATCATGACCCCTGGGGTAGGGCGGGGCCACAACACAGAATCCAAGTTTTAACCAAGAATGGGAAAGCCATGATTAGTCATACATGTATTCATATGGAAACATTCTCAGGTAGTGTAGATTCAATGTTGTTCAAGTGATGACCCCTGGGTGTAAGCCATGACCACAATGCAAGTTCAAATGTAAAGGGCAATAAAGCCACAGGTAGTCAAAAAATATGCAAGCATCCTGAGCTAGTGTAGATTCAAGTTTGTTCAAACCATACCCACTCCCCTTTAAGATTGGTTTGGACCACTATTGTGTTTAAACTTTTCTATAATAAACTGATTTATGCGTTTTTCCTAGCCACATTGCTCACGGGCCCATGAGCCTCTTGTTTAAGAGATTGTATCAAAATGTTTGGTCTACCTACCGAATTTTAAAACAATCTTCTCTGAGGCATGCCATACGGTGGGATACAATTTTGTTCAAATCCGATGTCAACTTCCTGTTCGTCTGTGCGTCTGTCCATATAACACATAATAAATTCTCATCACAGTTTTCCCAGCAACTATTCATCGCAGATGCTTGAAATTTCAAAACAATCTTCTCTGAGGCATGTCATACGGTGGGATACATTTTTGATCAAATTCGTTTCAACTTCCTATCTATCTGTGTATCTGTCCGTTTCATACATAACAAATTCGGTGACGTTTTCTCATCAACTATCCATCACAGATACTTGAAATTTCATTACACTTTGTTGAAGCATGCAGTATGGTGGGATTAGTTTTGATGTGAATATGATGTCAACTTCGTATTTCTCTGTGCATTTGCCCGTAATTGAACTTGTGAAAATTAACATCATAACATGATAGTGTTTATTCACATCAGAGCGGGGGTATTACTTGTGAGCATTGGCTCACAGATTTCTTGTTCCGATCAACACGATTGTATCTTATAATTTATATATCGTTAACATCGCGTCAGGTCGTATTGCATCGTAGCGTACCCCACCTGCATCGTAAGGGCATCTAATATGGCTTTCGTATCATTGTTATTGGAAACGTCCTCCGACTGGAAAAATAACCCCGCTATTTTGTGATTCCTACCAATGTCTCACTTTCTGTCACTATCTGTGACGCTTTGCGTTGTCCTACTGCTCACGAACTGACACGATTTATATCCGATCAGAAACGATTTATTACAGACAGAAGAGAGTAAAATTAGATGCAAGTGCTTACGCTTTGCGTTTAGGTTATTTTAGAGTACTTATACGCACAAAAATAACGGGGAATATTTCATTTCACGATGGAAACAGTAACAACACAAATGTTTGCATAAAATTGAAGATGCCACCTATAGTAAACAGGGGGAATAAAGGCGATAAAGCAAGCAATACCATTCCCTGAACACGTTCCATCAGAGGAGGCAGGATCAAAAAAGAAAACATTTACACTGTACCTTATTCATCTGGGCTGTGCAGGCAACAAGGATGAATACTTATGTCGATAAACTGATAACATGGTAACAATGGTGGAAAGAAAAGTGGGTAAGGAGGAAATGCGCAGACAAAAAAAGATGAATACTAATGTTGATAAACTGAAAACATGGTATTTAAGTATGGAAACAATGATGGGTCCATTTATTTACAAAGAAAAGTGCGTAGTTAGGAGATGCGCCTACTGAATCATTATTTAACACCCCGGAGGCAGACATACAAAAAATAAACATGAAAACATTGATGTAACCATCCATTGTCGCCCGGGAAATAAATAAAGTCAACAATGGAAATTAGTCCGGATTATCAAACCGCTTTGATATGTATGAAAAGGTATGCGTCTAAGTGATGGAGACGATAGTCGAGAATATTTTGAAAACTTAAACTCGGTTGAAAATCGAACAAAAACGATACCCTTTTAAACTTGATCAATTCCTCAAGTAAATGCTTGCTGCATAAAATAAAAATTAAAACTAGTTACATGCATCACCTATTTTCAAAATGTCTTTCACATCAAGAATATAAAACACGAACTGTGTGGAATACGTTTTTATGCGATAAGTAAAACTCGATGTTCTAAAAAAGGGACCTTTCGATTTTTCGATAGTAAATGGTTAGATATATATAAGATATAAAAAACAAAGATATTTTTACAAATTCACTTTATATAAGTAAATATATTATGTATCTCGAAATGTCTAAAGGGAAAGAACATTCTGATAACAATCTCTTTAATATTTAACAAACCTTTAATTCTAAATAACTTCTCCCACCTCAATCACCATACTCCAACAATTAAACTTTTATGTATAGAGCAGCCTGGCCGCATTGACAACAGCATACGTATATATAAAAATAAGTTTACGGAAATCACTTTATATTTATTGTACTTCTGGAAGAGAGAATTAATGTAAAATCTCTTGCAAACGTTGCCGAATTTATTTGCAAGTTTTATTAATTTTTTAGAATATATGTTTATTTTAAGAGTTTAATGATTGTGCAATTATGTAACACTCTAATGAACAATTCGTACAACGCCATAACTATGTGGCCTATTTATTCTACGATGGACACTGGATGTGCGGGTTCATTTCTGACTTATTTAGATCGATTGAAGGTTATTACCGATAGTAAAACATCAACGAATCTTTCTCTTAGCAGTAATTGTCCCCAAAATATTAACTTTTTTTTCTTTTTCTAAGTAACCGAAACCTCCTCTTGAGTATTATTGCAATTAAAAAAAATATTTGACAGGGGTACATTCTTTTTTTTGAATTTTCATAACAAACAATAATAAAAGATGACAAACTTTTATTTACTTTTTTCTGTGTGTGTGCGGGGGGGGGGGGGTATGGGAGACTGAAAATGGTGAATTAAAAACATATATTAATCTTCTATGTACATTGTACAGTTAACATACTTTTAACTTAGTTCCTTTTGCTAATAATGATTTTAATTTGGGGCATTTGAGAAGAAATAAAATTGAAAATACAGGTAAAGGTATACCAATTTAAACCAAATGCCATTTACATGCCGTCTTTACTTTCTTTTTTTTTAATCTGTCGTCATTGATTTATAGTTCATGATTCAGTTAATTTAATGCTGCTTAAAATATTTTTAAAGGGAGATTTTTAAAAATTAAATTTTAATAGGAACACAATTTTTGAGTTTAAATGTTTATTTCCATATACAGTCCTTTAATCCTGCCCTTTCCCTTAAGTAAAAACGGAACCCTTTGATTGGAAATAAATACATTTTAACTGTATCTAGTAATTATATCCCGTATCTCTTTTATCTAATGAATAGTTTAGTTTTTATTTCAGCTTCCATTACCCTGACAGTTCATCCTTCCAGTGATGTGGAGGTTAATCAGTTGGTGACAATACAGTGTTCCTTCTCACAAGCAGAAATTGTTGCCTTGTTCCATTCTACTTTAAATCCCTCAGTAGCTTTCTGTACCCTGGAACAATCCGGAGGAGTGTGTAAACAGGGTGATTGTGCTAGACAATACACTACAGCGTGTCCTAACTCTAAAACGTATAGTGTACAGTACCCTGTCCCATTGAGCTGGAATGGAGAAAGTGTTTACTGTAGAGGGCTTTTTAGAGACGAAAGAAGCAATAATGAAACCTTCAATATTATTGGTAAGTAATTAACTTTTTACCACAATTGAAATGAGTGTATTCTCTAAATGCAAATTTTTAAAAATTTTGTATTTTGCATTTGTATTATGTATTATACTGTAAACAGTCATGTAATAGCTCTGGCCTAATTTAAAATATCCATTTTCTTATTGCAAACGTAGCACTCATATCTGTCAGTTTAATCAAAAATGGATATTCTAGTACCCCAGTATTTATCCATCTACTAAGGACAAGAAATCACCAAAAAATTGTAGTAAACATTTTTATTAAATCACAATGCACCTCTGATATTTTACAGGTTCGTGTTTGAACCACTCCTATTTTGTAATATTTAATAAACTTTTAAGCTTGAATATTATTCCCACATATTTAATATAGAAAATAAATTTTATATATTAATCATGATAAATTGTCCATGAAATAACAGTTTTACAAAGCTGTGCTTGTAAATATAACAAATATAAAAATAAAAAACTCTCTTATTCAATTTAGAGTTGATCATGAATGTTGCTTGATTTAAATTTTGTTAACGATATTTTCTTATTAGAGAGTTATTTTTATTGGTTAATTGATTGTATGTTGTTTACGTCCCTCTCGAGAATTTTTCACTCATATAGTGATGCCACGTGCACCACTTGCCGGTGGAGAGCTTCAAATATTGTTCTATACTTGGCACGCAGGGTAATTAATCAGTGAGGGATCTTTTTCGTGCTAGCACTTACAGCAGCAAAGGACATCGCTTTATAATGTTGTTTCATCCGAAGGACCGGACCCCACGTCCCACAATGGAATTCGAAATCGCGACTACTGAGGCTTTTTGGTCATGGATATAAATAGCCAATGCATGTGAAAAGAGTAACAGGGAATACTTTGAGAGATATAAAATATGAGATGAATATCCTTTTTAGATACTATTTTTTAAATTTATTGAAAGGCCTTCGAACTCTATATTCACTTTTGCGTCATTTGTAGCGCATTGATTTTTTAAAAAAACTTTGTACATTTTCAGCTTCTTCACTGAAACAAAATTTGATTATTACAACCTACATGTAGTTTGTTACACAGCATCTATCAATAAACAGGAACAAAAATGTTTCAATTTATGGTCTAAGGA